GATCAAGCGTACCGTTAAGGATGCTTGTCATAGGAGATCTAGTTGAGGTAAAATACAAGGTAAACAAAATATAACGCAACATATAAAAGTTCATGGCGGCCCGTTTCTGATCGCTCTATACCCTTCTAGTGCGATAAAGTTTCAGTCGAAACTAGTTTCGCTCAACTTGATCTTCTAAAGGTTTCGGGTAGTTAGGACATATAGGGCGAAACAGAAAGTTCACAGTACGAAATGTTAGGATTGAGAAATGGATTCGTCCGAACACTAATTTGTGATAAAGGTTGAAACCTGTTAATAGTACTGGCCTAAGTTAATTTTAACCGGTTAATTAACCGGATAAACTCTAATTTGCGAAGCTTATTCAAGCGACTAAGAGCACAATGTCAATAGGAAATTCAGTATATATCAATATGATGGTCAATTCCATGTCTTGGAAACGTGAAATGTTATTCTTCAACTCCGTTATGCAATAATCTTAAACGACCCAAATGTTCGGATATCTTTTATGGTAAAGAAGAGTTTGGGAGAAATCTTCTATGGATTTACACTGCGAATGCGAAACTAGCCTGGAGAGTTTGGGTTTTAGTTTTAGGAATTAGTCAGAGGGTTTAGCCCAATTCTTTACCAAAATCTGTATATTATAGTTGACCAGAACGGTTGAAATTTGTCAGAGAATTTCCAATATTTATAACTTGGGAACATTTAAAGATCTTTCTCGATTTCAAAGAATTCATAAAGACATTTGACAATATTCTGGATACACACATCGGACTAGACTTCCGTTCGAAATTCAAAAACCTGATCTAGCCTGGCCTAGAAGGTCTTTCACGACGTTATGTAGAGACCTGTTATCGTATTCTACGTAATTTGCGAGGTGATCCCCCTTTGGTGATCAATATTTTCTCAACCATTGATGGAATAGACAGTTTGGGTGGTAGCAATTTATAAGGTTGTTTGCTATTTTTTTATATTACCTTAGTCATACTTGACTTTAAATTTATAACCAACTATGTCATTTGAGATCATTTGCAAGGTCATAGGCCAACAATGAGTGGCGCAAATGTCATATTTGCTACTGGTTGTAATGCTGGCGGGTACCTTGAGAACGTTTCAAAAGATAAAGATAGCGCGCGAAACTATATATTGTCGTGCCACGATGTCATTTGTTTGAGGATGGTTCTGAAAATAATGGGTTTATTGTCGGAGCAAAGCGTTGGATTAGACTATTGTAGGGAAGCTTAAAAATATTATGAAATAATACAAAAGCTTTGAAGAAGGAACGAATTTAAGCCGTGCAAGATTCAAGAAGCTGTAATAAGATCTAGAAAGTGCGAATCAAAGGGATACATTGGTCGGTTCATTTTTCAAAAGGTTAAATGATAATTTTGAAATCGATGGAAAATATTATATGGTTGATTGATGGTGGTATATAGAAAATCGGTACGGTATGAATTTGCAGTCAATACGTTTCGCGAATTTTGAATCGTCCGGTAGTATGATATATAGAGCTTAATATTAGAGGTACGCTACGATACTTTCGTACTAGTAACGTGACTGTTGTAATGTTTTAAAAATTAATTTTATTTCAAAAAAAGAACATTATTGTTGAATCAGATTAAAATAAATTATTTAATAGCAAATGCTTTTTATTAATTTAATTAATTTATTTTGATAAATTACCGTTGAATCAAACAAAAATAAAAATTCGTATCTCAATACGAATAATAATCCCCTTTATTATAAGACCAGTACAATGCGGTACGATTCGTTACTAGATAAACTAAATGGAATTTTCGGGATTAATCATGATTTAACTTTATATATGTCGCGATTTTTAAATTAAACAAAAAAAAAAAGATAGGACAATTTAAAATTGGCTGATAATATGAAAATATAACTTTAAGAAAAAGTTAATTTAAGAAGGTATAATTTCGATATTGTTTCCGAAATTTCCCGTATAATTATATTATCGGAATTAATTATTATGAATAAATTTTACAGATCATTCATCTTGGAAGTTAACATATCGATGTTATCTTATATTAAATTTGTAAACTAATCACATAATTCACACGCCAAAGTTGTAAAACATTTTTGGGATAAAGGAATTATAAGAGCAAGTGTAATTCAAAAAAATTAAACATTTTATTATAATATCAATAAACTTAACAAAACCGGAAGTAAATTCATAAAAAACGCAAAGGACGCACAAAAAAAAATTACATCAGAAAATTCCAAAGCGATTGCACAATATATAAGGAGGAATCCTTCTATTTCTTCCCAAACTTTAGTAAATAAATTGTTTAAAAAAGGCATAAATTTGTCTTATGTAACAATTTTACGACATTTAGAAAGACTTGGTTATAACAAAAAATTACCAATTCCAACACCAATGTTAACTGCGGTACAAGCAAAAACAAGTAGATTGGGCACGAAAGAATCTTAATGACAACTGGGAAAGAACTTTATTTTCAGGTGAAACGGCATTTCAATTATTTAGAAACACTATCAAACATTGGTTGGTATAAAGGAGTACGTCCAGTCCGTTGTATGCCAAAAGGTCGGTCAAAAATCTTTGCTTGGGGAGGTTTTTGTATACAGGGAAACAAAGCCTTTTATGCTTTAGAAGAATTATGAATGGTCAATTTTACGTTGATATTTTAAAAAACGATTACCTGAAATTACAAGAATGTTAAATAATGATTGGAGATTTCAACAGGATAAGTATCCGAAGCACACAAGCCTAGTTGCTAAAGACTTTTTGAATTGAAAGTTTCCTGAAGTAATCGACTGGCCATCCAATAGTCTGGATCTCAATCCTATAGAAAGCTTGTGAAGTATCGTAAAAGGAAATGTAGAAAAACGACAACCAAAAAATTTAGCAGAATTAGAACAATTTATGGTGGAGGAATGGAATAATATTCCAAATGGGGTTCTTATTAATTTATTATGTTCTATGAGAGAACGATGTGAACTTATAATAAAAAATAATGGGGAAAGAATTCCTTATTAATTTTTTTAAAATATAATTTTGTACTTTTAATCGATTAAATAAACTAAATAATCCGTTGCTGCGTAATAAGTAAATCAATTTGTCCAAAAACTTTTGTCACACTGAATATCGAAATGGTGACATCATATACAATATATATTTTAAAAAAATAGGAGTCAAACTAAAGAGCGCGTAAATACTATCATTTTGGTGCTTTGAAAGAATATAAACTTGCTATATATTTTTAAATTTAATTTAGACAGCAAAACATAAATAATCACAAAAAAATCAAAAAAAATAAAATACAACACAATTTACTTTCATTTGCAAAATATCGAAGTAAGTATCAACGTTTATGATAAAGTCTAAACTTTGGGCAAGATAGCTAGCCATTTAGCAAGGAACCTAAATCATAAACAAGCTTTATTTTGAAAATTTATAATTTATTATGCTTTTATATCATCACATAAATTTATTTTAAAAAAAAGTGGAGACATTTTGTTAAAAACTAGAATAGGATTCTGAAATGGTACGGAAATAACTTTTAAATATTTCGGTTGTAGTTATTTATTACTCCGAGATTTCCGAAATTAAACCAACCTGTCGGTATTGAATGATTTGAATTTCTTTTTAGACGGAACGGATTGTATCGCTTCAAGCCGCATGAGTTTTATTGATCACAAAAGCAGATTATTTAGGATAACATTATATTATTTATTATGTATTATTATTAGAAAAAAAAAAGTATTTAATAAAATTTTAAAAAACTATTAATCATTTTATTAAAAGAATTATTAAGGTGGCAAAATATGATTCCTTTCAAAGCACCTTTAGCTTTCCATAACAATTCTCTTTTCTTTCAATTTATTTATTACTTGTTTATAAACTACCAAGAGATTGAAAAATGAACGATTCCCGTGTACTTGTCACAAAAAGACTTTGAACGACCCGGGAAGAAAGATCGAAATATCCTCGATTATTATCAGAAATCTTGTGATAACTGTCATATACAAAACTAAAGTTTGCCCCACAATCCCAAAATCATTTGCATGTCCCAAAAGAATGTCATTAGCACCACTATAAAATATATTAAGCTCTATTTAATCGATTTATCATTAAATGTATATGTCCAACTCGAAGCATAGCCATTTGAAACGTGACAAGGATATGAATTGTAACTTCATTATCGGTAATGTGGGTCCCATCAGTAAACCGAAATTGTCCATTAGTACGGAGAATACTTTTAATCTTATTTTTCCTGAAAACTTCTAACGATTATTCATTAACTGTTGGAACCATTTCCGCCAATATATGAAAAAAGTAAGTCATTAATCCCAACACATTTTCTTTGTTGTCTCTTGAATACCATTTCAATATTCCAGCAAGGTATTTAATAATATGAGTAATTTCCAGAGAAAAAACATGTTGATCGAAATAAGAAAGCGTGTATTTATTATAAGAAGATTTTCCAGTGTCTCAAAATTCAATATGCTTAAATCGATGAAAGAAATAGAAGAGGATCATCTCTAAGATGGGTATATAGCTGAAAATCACATGCGTGCTCTGTTTTGAAAAAATTTCGATAAAACTTTGATACATTATACATCTATTATTATTAAAGATAAAAAATACACTCGCTAAACTAATTCAATAGCAAATTATTTCCTAATTATTTTCCGATATAAATACTAGATAAAACAACATATCAATTAAATTTGAATCTTTTCATTACACTCTTTGGTATTTTTGTCTTATTATATGCATCATCAATATATATAAATTTTCTTTTGTTGTAAATGATATTTGCCCGTTTTGGACCAACTCCTTACACTAGCTCGAAATCCCTTTATCTGCATTATTTATATCCAAAGAGCCTACATTAGCATACGTAAACGCTCTGCCAGCATAGGGCCCGAAATATTCAACCCAATTGGATATATCTACATATCCGGTGTTTTTTGGAAGATTGAAGTAATTTATTTTCGTTGTAGTATAGAATAAGAAAAAATCATTTGGTGATGCTGATTTTTTCCGTTCTTTTTGGGAAATCAGTCTCGTTAAGAATTTTTTTCAACTTTTTATATTGATGCACTTCGTTTGGGTTTGGGATGTTTGAATTCAAATCTAATCCAAGGAATGCGTCACCATACGGTGCTGAGACTCCGTTGATTATACAATGTTTACCTTTACGAACATAAACAATACCATTATCACATTTAATTTCTTTTTTAGTTCCAGTATAATTTGCCGAATTTGTGCCCTCCTGGTGAACTGCAATTTCTAATTCAAGATGATGATTTATAAATTGAAAATCACCACTATTCAATCTTGCTCCAGTGTGAATTTTCGCAATTGTTGTTACCTCATTTTCATTTACCATTCTAGATTTTAATGTCCGGAAAGATGCAACAAAATGCTCAAAGTGTTGCCAAAATTGAGCTCCTGTTGGACTTTTTGGATTTAAATTTGACTTATGGTCACCATAATTACAAAAACACCAATCTCGAAGCACTGGATCTTCACCATCAGAAGATTGCGTTAGTATCCAAATCCAGATGTAAGGAGCAATCAGGTTTCACCTATTTGTTTGTAGCTAATCAACCCTGGCCAAGCCACTTCTCCAGGGTACTTACTCGTACCAGGGATAAATTTATCAGATTCCAAGAGTACTCGAGTTAACATCGCCCGACCTATAGCTCTACAATCACTTGGAGAAAATAGGAACGCCTCACTGTACCTGTCACGTTGTTGGCTTGGTATCTGTAAACTTAAACGATAAACTTTTAATTCAATCCGTCGAATTAAATGCAAGACAATATCACAATCACGCCTATATGAAGACACGACAGAAGGTAATAGTAAATGAATTCAATGATTCCTTTATTGAACTCTTAGTTTATCTTAAAACCTTATCTTGAGTTACTTTTCAACTCAAGAGAAAATACAAGATATTTATACAAAATAAAATACTATAAATATAATATAACAAATGTAATATTAATAATAAAATAAATAGATACGAACAATAACATAATTAACAAATATAATGATTATAAACAATATAACTAATCTATTAAATAGATCAACAATGACCACTTTAGCAATTTGGTCTAATTTGTCCACTTCTTCCACTTTCTTAATCATTTTGATCACATGACTCGTTGAGGCGCAGTCACGGATCACGGCTTCAACGTAAATCATTCATTAAATCATTTACATTACGTTTTTCCAGGATCTCTTGTAAAACTTCGAGCGCCCTCCCGTGCCCTCCACAATCATTCACTAAAATTTTGGTTATATGATCTGTCATTTCGAAGACTGGAGTCACATTGTTATTATTGCAAATTGTCGGAGGGATCAATGAGGCAATCGGTAGTTCTACGCGTTTGCGGTACGTAATTTTTAGGACCTCGATAGAATTAGTTACCGTTGCAGTACATAGTGTAATCAAGAAAGCACCACCCATAGCAAGGTCGTGTATATTAGTCAGAGTCCGGAAAAAATCAGATGATCGATCATTCCAATCATTAATCGAATTCATTATATTTTGTAATCCATCGACAATTAAAAAAATCGTAGCGTCTTTCATTTCAATCTCTTCGTATTTGGCTACTAACTTAAACATTTGCCATGGTAATGGTGCTTCATATTCTGCAATTATCAATTCCAGATTTTTTTCCAGAAGAAGTCGTTTAAGAATTCTAGGTTCTAATTGCACTATACGCTTCGATTTCCACACCCTTTCTTAAGCTATTACCGTTTTCGAAGCCGACATTGAATACCCATGCATTTCTAATTCTTTCTTTTAGTTTCATGTCTTCAGAATCCGATAAACATGTGTGTCGTATTATAAAATTCTTCTGCATTTCGTGACTTTCCGGTACCAGCACCGGAAAGAAAGAGATAAATTAGTAAAAAAGTTTTATCAACGACTCCCCAAGGTAATATTCGTAATGCATTCTAAGTTCATTTCTCAACTTTTCGCGTAAGCCTTGTCCCGGCTGATATACCTAGCTCTTACCGACAACATAAAGCAGAGGCTTTGGTTTTTTGTATTGCAAACATGTGAGAGTAATGAAACACTGGTTAGGTCTATGAATTTCAGTACTTCGAATTGTTGAATATATACCTTTAGGAAAAGCGTCTATAATTCTTTTTTTGCGGAGCTAGTGAGTACTAAACAAGAGAATTAAAAATTACGAGTCACGTTCGAGTTGACCAATCATTACGACGTAAATTCTTACCTTGATGTTCATCTAAATTGGGTTAAGGGAATCAAAAGGCAGTTAGTTACTTGATCAAGACATGTTACGCGTTATGACCAATCGATATTATGCAAAAGCTTACCAGTGTTAACTGATAATCCAACTATAATTCGAATATTTTTTCCTGTGTAATCAGTAAAAACATTTCCAACCTTTTCTGCTTTATTTTCTATTCTATCGTCCAAACTTTCATCAAGATAAATATTTCTATTATTTTCGAGATTAGTTTTCCAAAGTAAAAGTTCTATGGCTTTTACATTAAGAATCTCTTCTGAAACAATTTTTTTTAGGTCGTAAAAATCATTGTCTACTCCAGCGATAACTTTGTAAATAGATTTATTATTTCTAGCAATGCACCAAAGTGTTTTCGTGTACCGATAATTTCAACAGTAGACATTTTGAAATAAGTTAGATAAAAATAAGAAAAATAAGAAAGACAGAAAGAACAGAATAAAAATTATTTAATTTACCCAGAAAGTAAATAAAATCTCCGGGTCACTGGATTCGAGACCACGTGTATGACGCAGCCCGATCGTTTCAATAAAAATTCCAATTAAACAATTTAAAAAAAAAATAAATTAAACAAAATATTCTCGCACTCTCTCTCTCTTTGCAATTAAAAATTCAATTAATTTAATTTAAAAGCAATTATTAAAAATAAATTGGAAAAAATTTGCCAATTAAAAATTATTGCGATTAAAATATTTAATAGAAAAAAATATTATGTGATTACATGAAAACTTACTGCGATGAATTTATTTGTCCAAGAATGTGTTGTCCTTTATTTTCTTACGAACGCAAATATACTAAGCTTTTTACAAGTAAACATATTTTTTTTTTTTTAGCTAAATCATAAAAATTATTAAACGTTCTCAAGCACTTCAATTAATATAATCTTATTTGCTGAAAAAGTATCATAAAGTTTCTTATTTCGATAAATATTCAGAAAGTTACAAACCACCTTTTTTATTTTAAATGATTTACAATTGATAGAGTATTCTCAAGCGAAAAATATTTCAAGTAAAAAAAAAATAAATATTTACTTTTTCTTGTTCTTGTATAGCAGCTTTATTAAGTGCCATAGTTGGTTATGCTGCTGCAACAAAAATTTCAAGTTCGGAAAATCATTAAAGGGAATGGTATTATTAGTTGAAATTGGAAGATTTTTATTTTTGCGAGGATTTCTTATTAGGCATGGCGAAGATTATTAGAAAAAAAATAAAATTTTTAATGTAGATCGGTAAAAGAGCAAGCTCAAGTATTGATTTTGTTATTGATTGTGATACTTGAGCTCAATGACATAACCAGCCAATCTCATTAATTAATTTATGAATTAATATTTATCGCAGTAATCGATCACGTTATTACATGTGATTTGTACCACTGTAATATTCGGAAAATATTTTCCGTTGATCTAATTTTGGTCATGATAATTCCTTTTATATCCCTATTGGCAAAATCAATTTTACAAATTTATCCGAAATTTTTTTTTTAAAAAAAAAAAAAATGGAGGTAAATAGCCATGAAAATGAAGTCCAAGTTCTAATAGAATAAAAGTTAAATGTCTCAGATAAGAATTGTCGTTATTGCGATAAACCATTTTCCGAGAAATTATGGTGTAAAGAATGTGACCCTGGATGTTGGACTAGTGGAAATTCTGAAATTGATAAATTCATAAAAGAAACAATATATAAAGCAAGATATAAAAAACATCCAATAATTCTTGAATGGGTGCCTTATGATAGATTCACAGATATAAAAGAAATTGGTGAAGGAGGATTTGCCAAAGTGTATTCTGCAACATGGATCGATGGTAAATCGGAATTTTATAAGAAAGATGACGGAAGTTGGAAAAAATCTGATCCTGAAACTATTAAGGTTGCTTTGAAAAGGTTAATTGGATCACGGGATATGTCAGCTAAATATTTTAGTGAGGTATATCACTTTATATTTGATATGAATTAAGAAGATTATTCTGCTAATTTGCTCTTAAATTTTTATTACAAAAACTAGCTTAAAGCACATTGGGATTTTTGTCAAACATCTAATACATTAGAATTTTATGGGATAACTAAGGATCCAGAAACCAAAGATTTTATTATGATCGTGCAATTTGCATCCGATGGAAACTTGAGAAGTTATCTTTCAAATAAATTTAACATCGTGTTATGGGAAGATAAAATTCTAAAATTATTAAATATAACTTTTGACCTTTACAGATTACATGATTTAGGATATTGTCATAAGGATTTTCATAGTGGAAATATCTTACAAGTTGAAAAATTTTCTTATATTTCAGATTTTGGATTATCAGGACCAGCAGATAAGCAAAAATCAGATGGTAAAATATACGGTGTATTACCATATATCGCTCCAGAAGTCTTGAATGGAGAATTATATACTTTGGCTTCTGATATATACAGTTTTGGTGTAATTATGGCTGAGTTATCATCAGGAAACCCTCCCTTTGATGATAGAAAACATGACGTATCTTTAGCCTTGGATATTTGTAATGGATTTCGTCCAGAATTTGGAAAAGGAACTCCTGAATTTTTTAAGAAATTGGCTTATAGATGTATGGATGCAAATCCAAATCAAAGACCAAAAGCCGATGAATTAAAAGAAATATTGTATTTTTGGTATCAATCTATTAATGAGAATTATAAAAAATATGGATATTATGGAAAAGAAATAAAGGAAGCATTTGAAGAGGCAGATAAAGAGATACCAAATATTTCAATTTCACGCAAAACGAATCCTGATGCCATATATACAAGTAGAGCATTTACATTTAAAAATTTGACAAAACCTATTAATTTGTCTCTTATCACCTCAATTCTTGAAAAGGATGAGAATAATGAAGGTAATATATATTTAACTTTTTTATTTCGATAACCAAATATTAATTTCAATGCATTATAACAAAATTTCAAGATTCTCAATTAATTGAATTAGGAATTTCTAGTTCATTACAATTAAGAGGTAATATGACATTTCGATATTTATAATTGCAATTTAAATATGAACTAATATAGATTTATATAATGATAGACGTCAATTATTGAAGTGTCTACAAAGATATATAATGCGGTTTAACATTAGTAGTAATTAATTTTAAAGTTTTGTCTTAGGAATATTTGGACTACACCTAAAGGTTATGTAATAATGATAAGGAGAAATTTATATATAATCAAATAGTATTTGCTTTTTATATATATATCCTACATCAAGTAAGCTAACTATTTAACACAACCTTCAACTTGTAATTTATTTCAAATTTTCATACCATGAATACATATAATTATTTCGCTAAAACTTTACGAACCTGGATTTTTACAGATGAAAATAATACAATTTATGGTCAGTCATTTAAAGAGGTTTTGATAGAAAATGACAATCTTCCGAAAGAGAATATTTGAAAATTTAAAGATTGCAAAAATAAATATCATTAATATTACAAATACTTTAAACAAAAAAAATATATAATTTTCTTTTTTAAATAATATCATCAAAATTCACCATTTATTAATTTTAATAGTACTATATAAACTGAGTTTATCCTGAAAAGTTGAAACTTGGCCATAAAGAACGGATTACATAATGTACAATATGAAATAAAAATAACAACTTGCTCAATGAATACAAATACAAACTGAAATCTGTCCCAAAAAATTTCATATAATTTATATCAAATATGCAATCTCCGTTAAAAAAAGTGCTATGTGATGACATCTTTTTGAAACAAGCTGGGCAATCAATACTGTCAAGCTGATCAAATCCATATCGACAACTTGGTTATCGAGAAAACAAGTAGAATGACGTGGCATCCCGCACTTTGTTAAATATTTCTTCTTGAATAAAATAAGGAAAGCATGTTTTACTAAAGATCTCAATTATGAAATTCTTCGCTTGACAGATAAAACTTAGCCGTTTCAAAATTTCTTTACAGCAAAATTCATATAAAAACTATCGGAGTATATCGTCCTTGCAAAAAGAAACGTGACAAGATTCGGTATGAATTAAAACTAAACCATTATGCTCTCGAACTATTGCTCTAAATTTAATGATATATTTTTTGCTTTTCTAAATTTACCAAATGTACTGTGTCTCTCGGCATGTGACTTGGCCCGATGTCATACGTAATCAATATCACGAATGGCGCAGATACTGCGATGAAAAGCGAGAATACCAAATATGTATATTAAGAAATTTCATACTGCCCCAATTTAAAATTGATGCAAATTAGAATTTGAGACATATCGGTGCCCACAAGTTAACTGTTGTCCCAAATTAAACAATTATTCTTTTTTCGGAGCCATCTCCAATAGTCTATTTCTCTATTATTGAATTTATATAAGAAGTAGAGGAAAGAGAGAGAAATATTTGTCTAAATGTCTAAATGTGAAGATGCATTTCTACACTAAAAATGTTTTAATCTTATATGAAAAATTTAATAAAATTCTTCTATCATATACTTACTATCTAAACATTCAAGGTCAAAGATTCCGGTAACTACAAAATGGTAAATAAATATTTTTTGTCAATTGATTGATCTTATTTTTTTATAAAAAAAATGAACATTCTTCCATTATAGACTTACTTGGTTGAAAAATTTAATAAAGCTACAAAAAGGTAAAGTTTTCGTTAGTTGATTTTTTTTTTAAAAAAAATTAACTTACCTTCTCTCTCTATAAACTTATCTCCAACAACACAAATTTGTAATTTTATTTACAAGATTAATTTTTAACATTGTCAATTTATATTATAGTGCGGTAAAAATTAAATTTATTTTAAAACAAAAAAGTATAACTTCATGATTATTTTCATTATTAATTTGGGTTTTTAGAATTAATTTAATGAGAATGCGTTCAGAATAAATATTGACTAATAAAATTAATAATAAACTATGAATCAGAATTTTTACTTTTTTTGAATTAAATGATCACGTTTTTAGATATGACCGGACTTGCTCTTACTCCTTTTAATTGTTATATTATGTAACCATAATTTTAACTTATGATTATTTAATTAATACATAATATAAAATAAAACAAGAAACTAATTATTTGTAATGAGAACATTCGATTATAATAAATATTATGAATACTTTTTTATTCTTCTGATGCAAACAGGATATATTAAGTATCAAGATAATTTAACTCTTATGTATAAGACTAACTGAACTTTAATAGTTTTGAACATACTTTAAATTTGGTAAATTAACAAGAAATGACACTTAGTTGAGTGTGGTTTACAAATAAGTCTTTTAGATTTCTGACAAGAATTCGTCTTAGCCTCAATACTAATAAATATTTATATTTGTAATTTTATGATGTAGAAGATAAGAAATTATTTATAAAATGTGATCTTATATAGGTGGCATAAACCAATGAAATAAAGATGGTTCACAAATGCCTATAAAGAAATCTTCAATATCGAAAATGTTTTATTGTCTAATTATATAACAGACTTATCAAATGTATGGAATCAAGCTAGGGTCACTTGATTCTGTGGAACTATTCAATTGATTTTATATTTGTTAATAATAAATAGATCCGGTTCATTTCGCTGACGTGTTCATTTTATCGACAATCATTTCACCGTCAGTATCATCTCATCATTATGCTTTATATTATAAATTAATCGTTAATAAGCAATCTAACTTCACATTTTAAAAAGACAAATTTTAATTATAATAAAAAAATGAATTTTATATTATTATGTAAACAATAAAAATATTTTTTTTTTTTGAGATGTCGGTGAAATGAACATGTTGGTGAAATGATAGCCCCTACTATCTATTTTATTTTTGCTTGTCATGAGGGGAGGGGATTACAATTATACTCAGACAGCCTATTCACTAACATAAATTAACCGACTCCATTTTTATCAAATTTCATTCACCAGCCATAAAGATTATCCGATTCCATTATACTGAATCGTTATTTTACTTATATGAAAAAGACATATTTTTTTGATCAATATTAAATTTGATTGAAGATTTTAAAATTTCTTAAAAAATCAGAAGAATTATTTAATTTATTAGTCAAAGATAAGAACCGCAAGCATAAGAAGTAATCCGTGCAAGTGCTAAACTTAATTTAGTCACACATAATCAGCGAGTTCAAGTAATTCTAAATGCTAAGTTTGTAAATCTTCATAACAAAAATACGAGCGGGAGGCAAACTATTTCTTCATTGCAAGATATATTAACTTGTGCACTATTATCGTTGACGATTTTTTAAATGGTGATAATTTTTTCGTACACGTCCTAAATTCAACATACTTTTTCTAAAATATGAATAAACAATTTCAAATAATAGAAATAAAGTTTTCGCCATTTTCACCTACGCAATTGTGATTTCTTATATAATATATTAATATGTTAAAATTAATTTAAAACCGGTAAAATACCATAAATTTCATTTTTTTAAATGTTGAAAATAATTTACAGGTTTTCATAATCCTAAATCACTAATAGATAAAATCTTATCTCTAATTATTGATGATGAAAATCACAATGAATAAGATTCTTTCAAGCCCATTAATAATATTATTTAATTGTAATAATTTGGCATAATAAATTATAAATTAAATAAATTTAACGAAATATTACCTTCGATTATTTTAAAATTTTGCATGTTATAATGCGAATAATAAATCATATATGTTAAAATTACTACGTATTTTCTTAATTACTTTAAAAATTTCAAACACTTGAGTAATACTCAATGTTGACTTAATGCAGGGTGCGTGTTTCTTATGTTGACGTAGACGTAAACATTAAAGCACATAAATAGGACATTGGAACCAGTTTATATGAGACATTTAAGGACGATTAGAGATGCATATACTTTGTGCAGTACGCTTAATTATTACTGTAAAAGTTCATTTAAAAGTTTATCAACTCGATTTTATAGTTCCTAAAAAGGAAGGAAGTTATTTAACTTGCATTTTTAAAAAATTGGATAAAGAACTTTCAGATCATATGATTTCTTTGTGATTTTAATAAATTTAAACACTGTCATTCATAATATATTGCTTTAATATTTGAAGTTTTCGTTGCTTCCTAAACTCTGTAGTAAACTACTAAATTCTATATGAGGCAAACTTAAATAATCGGGCAAAAGGTAATTTTTTTTCAACAGATTTTATATTAGCAACTAAAAGATTTTATTAACGTTAATCCGAATAACTATAAATAAAAAAAAAAAAATTTAATATCGTCACTACAAAATTCGTTGTCTGAATGGTCGGTGGCTTAGATATTTGTTTAACGTTGCACTCATTTCACTCTTTTTATCATTTCTTTTATATTTTCAACTTAAATAATCAAAATGCAAACTACCAATAGTTCTAATGAGAGTGGATTAATTAGATTGAAGAATATATATTTCAAAAAAAAAATCAAATGCTACGAATAAAGACATTTTAACAACTTTCTACGGGCAGCTTTGGAAAGGTAAATCGGTGTGTAAATTGAAAGGTTTCGAAGAAACAAATTGTATTAAAGTCGTTTCATACACTTACCTATGCCATCGTTAAAGAAATTTTCGTGAGGTAATTACAAATATGCCACATTTTTCGGTTTATTTTGGTATGTTTATATATATCAAGCAAGCTTAATATTTATCTTTTAATTATTTAGCTTGAACTTCAACGTGAAGTGCATTTTAATGATATATTATCCGATGGAATATTCTAATGGTGGAGAATCAGAAATTAAGAATTTTGTAAGCTTTCTTGGGAGATATATACAACTTTGCGCTCCAGCTGGCTTGTTCCGTTTCATTTTACATGTCGAAGGAATTGTGTATAATAATTTTGTGTTTACACATATCGTGTTTGTTTATCATGAATATTGCTTCTAACGATTAATATAAAATTATTTTAATAACATTCCGGCAATATATTAATTCGTCAAGATGTGGATTATTGAGAAGGTCAAAAGCATTAGTGTAATTGTTTACATTGACAATACGCTAAATGAAAAATAGTAATGTTTATATTGTTGGTGTTCTCTTATGGGAGATATGAAGTGGTCATCCTCTTTTTGATTTTATGAACTATATGACATTGATTTAGCCGTAGAACTTTCACAAGGTCTCAGAGAAAAGTCGTTCCTGGTACGCCTGATGATATGATTTACATGATTAATGTACTGCATTCAAAGAATAAATCACATGGTTTTAAATTTTAGAAAGATGGATAATGAACCAGATAATCGTCCAGCTAGTTGAGAAATTGAATGCAATAATTATTACAAAAACACGTTTCATAAATTGGTCGATGTATGGAGAAGAATTAGATATGATGATGCAAGTTTACGTAATGTATTAATGTTTAAAATAAAACTTAGGAGGGTTACATAGTCTTCTTATATTAACAAAACTTATTGTCATAAAAGTCAAATAACCAACTTAAACGCCTTTTACTGATTTTGATCATGATTATGAACTTGTGACAAAAATAATGAAAAGGATGAGGCAGAAGGCAGTACCAGGAACTCCAACAGGATACGATGTTTGGATGCTGATCCATTTTATCATGACACTTTTGATTGCGAATATTCAAAATTAATATGCTTAACCAACTTTGTCTAGCTCATTAACAACTTTTAATTGTTCCTATGCTTCAATAACTAATTTGCCAACTATAAATAAATCCTTAATAATTCTCAGTTGTTTGATACTTAAATAACTAGCTTACCAACTTTAAATTGCGAATAAAAAAGACACATTAGTTGGGTCGTTTTTCAAATAATTATGAAATTGATGACAAAATTATGGAGTTGATGCTGCCATAGCTTCACTAGTAAAAACAAGTAATGGTAACTTTCGAAACTTTGATCCAGAAGGTATATCGGACAGCACATTTGAACTATTGTCATATGAGCCTATTAGTCTTTCATGTACCATAGATATTATCAAAAACCTTGATTCAGTCGATATTTCGCAACCTGTATTTAAAGTTGGACGAACATCTGGGCTGACTATTGGACAGGTAAAAGAAACAATTTTATCATCAATTTTGTTAAGTGGAGTTCATAACATATTTCACCAACAGGAGAGAATATTGGGCGTTTCTTTTTTGAAGCTATCAAACATAAGGAGAAATCTATATTTACTCCTAAATGGTTAGATAGACAAATAACTGTAAAGAACAGTGGAGTATTTACGGAAAAAGGGGATTCTGGTAGTATATGGTTTAACAAATATTGCAATTAATTCCATAGGATCGCCAATACATGCAGTGGAAAAAGCTCTTAATATAAGTATTTGGTTCGGTGAATAGCACATTATATAAACAATTATTTTGGATGAATCGCTTTGTAATTTGTTTTGCATATTCTTTTATTTTCTATATAATCATTCCAGACAAATGGCTATTCGTTAATGAAGCATCTATTTTTTGCGTAAATAATTAGTTTCGTATGATCAATAGAGATCTTGTTATTGATATAAATAACAGAAAATTCTTTATTTATTTTCTCACATAATTCTTTTTATTAGTTTAAGAACATATTTATAAAGAACATCATTTGATTTTGTCATGTTTTACATGATGATGGTGATTAACCGAACCGAAATAATTTGGTTTGTCGAAATCACGACTTATTATCTTATATCTAATAATATAATTTTATAAAATAGTTAATCGCAGTTACTTTGAACGAATAATTAAACGAAAGAGATCATTTGTTGCATTAAATCATTAAAGTTTTCTTTTCGATAAAAAATCTATTAAGTTCTGTCTTTGATTTTTGTTCCATTAAAAATTTTTATAAATCAATACATCTTGCATATCCAAATTATAAAGTATGAAATTTATTTTATGTATATATGCTGTTTCGCATAAGAAATAAAAAATATATCGCCAATTAATTTCACGTGATCTGAATTTGTTTTACAATGATAGATAGGAGACCAGGTCCTAAACAGTCCTACGAAGTCCGGTCCTGTTCAAACTTTTGAACTATAGGACTGCGGTCCTATGGTAATTAGGACTTGCGGTCCTATAGAAAAATAATAGTTCAAAAAGACGATGAGGAATCGTTCGACTTGAACGATAAAAGAAATCGTTCAAGAAGAACGATAAGTAATCGTTCTTCTTGAACGATTATTTTTCTATAGGACCGCAGTCATAGGACCGCAAGTCCTAATTTCTATAGGACCGCGGTCCTAGGACTGCAGTCTCGGGACCTGGTCCTAGAATCCAGTCCTAGGAC